CCAAGTCCCTCCTATCCAATAAAGCAGTATAGTTCTGACTGCTCAACAGGGAAGCAAAGTCAGAAAAAAGATTCAAGTTTCTCAAGCACAACCCAAGTGTCAAATCAATCACCGTGCCCGGCTTCTTTTCCACCCAGCATGTGAAATATTCTGAGTCGGGCGACCCAGAGCCCAGTCTGAGTACCTGCCCCCTGCACTGAGGGTGCCCAGGCCACTTACTGGTGGTGAAGCAGTGGCGGCAGGGGGGACCCTTTAGCTCCTGCTCGCTGTCTTCACTGTCAAAGTCATCCTCACTGGCTGAACTCAGATCCACTGCATGAGGTGAGCAAAAGTGGAGACAGAAGAGACACCATCATGTTCAGCTGAGAATGGAGCCACCAGTAAAACAACTCCACACAGCCTGAGATGAGCATCGGTCACAGGCTCACTTTGAGCATCCCACGACCAGAGCAAAGAGCTTGCATGCCTGAGGGGCTGTACTATTCAAGGTCCTGCTTTGCCAGGTGCTCACACTGGTGAATCTAAAATGGTACCAGTGCCTTCTGGGTACATCTGAGCAGCCTGGAATTCCATCTATTGAACCAATATGGCTTCTGGCCCTCATCAAGTATAACACGGAACCCTGGTACCCTTAGGCCGATGTTCTGGGATAGCACAGAACAGCAAAGCACACTGCTTGGTTCTAGTTCCTAGGGGCCAACGGGGCCAAGACAACGGGACCCAAAGGGTTTCCCAGTCTCATCAGGGTGAATGTTATACTGGCACTGGGAAGAGGATCTGGGTAAAGCAGACAAAAGAAGAAAGTAGAATCCTACATCAAGCTTACATTTTGTAAAATGCAAAAGAACAGTAAGTTTATTAGAATAATTTAAACCCTCCCACAACTGTCAGCATTAATGTACACATATGCACACACTAATGAACAAACCACACCACACAGATCCCTGGTTGACCAGCTCCATAGGCCAGAGCTGGACACACACGTCTGCAAGTGAGCAGTCTCTTACTAAGCTTCGCAGCAGCAAGAACCCCACTTACAGAATTCACTGGAAGGTGGTCTGGAAGGTGTGTTGACCGGGGTGGATGCCGTGCGAGTCTTAATTCTTCTGAACACTGCCTGCCTGCGGTGCCGGCGGTGGGCACGCGAGCTGGCTGCCTCCGGTGTCTTCTTCCAGTAGTAATAGAAGGTAATCAGTTCCCCCTGCGAGAAAGAGGGACAGCTGTTGGCGCGCGCACACACACACACACACACACACACACACACACACACACACAGCCTTCCCATCAGCACACCCTCCTGTGCCTGGGGCTGAGAGCACGCAGCAATGCTCCCGGAGAAGCACCAGGTTCCCTCCTGCAGCCCAGCAGAGCATGACTCCCACACAACATAAAGAATCAAGACCACACGAGAGACAAGAAGGATAGGAGGGTCCACTTGTTCAGGGAGCCATAGTTATATGAGCGTGTGAGCTGAGGTCATAGGTGCACAAGGAGGCATCTCCGGAGACAGCCACCAAACAGAGCACAGGGGAGCTGGTGGGGTTCCCCTGCCACCTGTCTCCCACACAAAGAGCACTTGCACCTAGCTGAAGCTGGCTAAAGACCAACTTTAAAAATAAAATTTAAAGTGTATGAAGCATACAAAATAATGGGTTTATGACATTTTTATAAAGGGCTGAGTTCTTAGAAAGACCCCAAAAGAAAGTCTCTGCCTCAGTTTTAAAAGATCAACTAAACACTAAATATGCACTTTAGGTGTAGGCCGATCAGCTGGTTCTGGAGCCCTCTTCACCCCCTCTCTCTAATGCACGCTGTCTCACGAATGAGGCGACCAGTTTTCTTGGGAGCTAGGTTCCAAGGGCCCAGAAGAGACGTAGGAAAACCACAAAAGGACCTCTGGAGACCATGTACAAATTTTTATGACTGACAGGACCAAACACAACAGGCTTCACCCCAACACCAGTGGTCTCCAGTATCAGAAGCAATGAGCAGGGTTTAGACAAGGAAACCACTTCTCAAAGGCAACTGATAACATGTGCTGGGAACTTAGTCCACTCCTTCCTCCCCAACATTGAGTGTCGTAGGACAGGACAACCTTGGGCTGTCAGTCCTCAGGTCTGTTCCCCTCCTCCCCCTCTTACTCCTCCCACCCCCAGCCACCCCAGTTTTTTTGAGACAGGGTTTCTCTATAACAGCCCTGACTGTCCTGGAACTCACTCTGGTGACCGGGATGGCCTTTAACTCACAGAGATCCTCCTGTCTCTGTCTCCCGAGTTCTGGGATTAAAGGTGTGCGCCACCACAGCCCAGCACCTCGTTCTCTTAACAGCTGGGATGACACAGGTTAATGTGACAATTCAGGCGACACTAAGTTTTGTCAACAAGTAACAGCTGTAACAGAAAGACTAAGCACCCAGAACAGATTAAACCTGGGCACCATGGGTCAAGATGACCAGGAACCTGGGCCGGATGGAAACCATGACGGAGAAAATGAAAGAACACAAAAATGCAGAAAGCCAAGATGGTGAGGATGTGCACACACACCGAGGACTTGCAAACACTGCTGATGTGACAAACTGTAGTCAAAGCCACTTCGTAAATGTTTGCAAACGTTTGCCAATTTCTACAAGGTTAAACAAGTACCACAGGATCTAGAATTCTATGCCTGGCTTGTTTATCCAACAGGACAAAATCTGCTCACAGATATGCTTTAAACAGTTTTTAAATTATTGACGTGTATGTGCCCTGGTGTGAGAATGCCTACGAAGGCCAGAAGGGGGAGTAGAGTTCCCTGGAGCTGGAGTCTCAGGTGGCATGCTGCACACTGTGGGTACTGGGAACACACTCAGTCCTCTGGAAGAGCATAAAGATGTTCACACAAACATTCATAGAAACATTATTCTTAATAGCCCCAAATGAGAAAAAAAGGATGCTTGGCCACAGGAAGTGTAACTGAATTATGTAAGTGTACACTGGAACGTTATCTGACAATAACAAAAAGGGACCAGCAGCTTATACAGCAACAAAGACAAATTTCCAAAGAACCCTGTTAAATGGCAGACACCAGGAGAGCATGAGTTCGAGACAGACAGGGAGATCTGTAACAGCAAGAAAGACAATTCAGTGGTTGCCCAGGACCCAACCAAGTGGCTACTCAGGAGGAAAATACAAAGGCCTAACATAGATGGCGTATACAGTTGTCAAAACTTAACTGATTGTATACTTAGAGTGTGGGTGTATTTATATATGTATATGAATATATGTATGAATACACACACACACACACACACACACACGGTAGTCTATGTCAATTATATGTCAATAAAGTTGACAAAAACATAATAAATCCAGGCCAGGTTTTATTAGCTGCCTCTCAGAGACTGCAATGGCCACTGAGAGATTAAGCATGGAGGATTAGAGGCGGCACACTGCTGCCTGCATGGGTGGCTAGGTCTTGAGCACAAACAAAAGAACATGTTGGGAAAAGCTTTGGTTCTACAAATAGGGAGTGAGGCAGCTCTCGGCCTCACCAGGAACGAAGTCAATTGCACTTTAATCAAACATGCATGGTGCGCAGCAGAGACCCGCTGCACATAAATCCAGAGGAGGAAAGCGGCTGCAGAAATCAATAGCTCGCTGAAACATTAACACAGGCATCATTGATCAAAAGGCAGCTCCACAAAGGCAGCCTTGCAGATTAGCTCCTGCTTTTGCTTGCAAGCAAACACTGAGGTCTAAATGTTGACACCAATGGCCTATAATCATCATTTTGTTCCCAATGCTCTCACCTCACAGGTCTCACAGCCAACCCATGTGACATCAGATGTAGTAGTAGCTACACACACTACGAGGTGCTAAATCAACTCAGAACCTGGGCCAAAAAAAAAAAAAGAAAAAGGGACAAAACCACCTCCAACTGCCAAGAGTCACAGCCCTCAGCTCCTGCCCAGTGCTGCCCCCTACTAGCCTGTGCTAGTGTTAGTTCTCTCCTCCAATCCCTCCAACCACCACCAACCCCCCCCCCCTTTTTTTTGTAGAGGGGAGCTGGGTCACAGGCAAAGGCTCCTAGAAGCAGGGGCTCAATCCAACAGAAATGTCTTTCTTGGACATACATACAACAGGTTGTGTGTGTGTGTGGGGGGGGGGGGGGGGGGGGGGGGGGGGGGTGGTGGGGGGGGGGGGGGGTTGGGTTGGGTTGGGGCTACTGTTGGGTTCCGGCGACATTTCTGTAAAAAGAGACAAGGGGAAGGGAATGCCATACAGAGAACATGGGCAGAACGAAAGGGAAAGGGGCTGCTTAGGAAGCTCTTCCTCTTAAGTGGTTGGGAACCTAGAAGAGTCAGCAAAAGCTGTGGGGAAACAGCTCCGGGGCTGCCTGCCTCATTCGCCTCAGCACTTGACTTTAGCTCCTTTGAGTCTATCAAGTTTACTCACAAGTCTAAAATGTCAGTGATTCCCACAAGTCTGCCGAAGCGATGGGGGCTAGAGCTGCTCCCATCTTGGAGCTGGCCTAAACTCATTTAAGGACAAGTCCGATGCTGTGGCATGTCCATCTCCCCATGGGCATGTCCCTGGCAGACAAACAAGGAGCCTGAAGGTGGGTGCTGGCAGCTGTGTGCCCAGCACTGGCCTGCCCACCTCCTTGTCTTACAATCGGGTCTCTGCCTACCCACCGGCGTTTATTTGGTAAAATCCAGCACTAGGTTACTTCACTTCCATCAGTCACTGCAAAGCCGAGAGATCTGTAACTTGTCCTGCTCAATTAAAACATGGCTCTTTTTATTTTTTTATTTTATTTTATGGTTTTTTGAGACAGGGTTTCTCTATGTAATGTGGCTCTTTTTAAAGGTGCTTCTCTTCCCTCAGGGGCCCAGGGAAATGAGTTAGAACAGAATGCTGAGGAGGTGGGGCACTGGAAGCATCTAAAATACCAAAGCCCACCATGCCCCCCTTTTGAAAACAGGGTCTCTTTATGTAACCCCAGGAGTCCCCATCTCACAGAGACCCTCCTGCCTCAGCCTGCCAAGTACTGGGACTGAAGGTGTGAGAACCAGCCCTGGCCTCCGTGGTTAAGAACACCACCTAATTCTGCCTTCTCACCCCCAACCTGTCACACCCTGGCACAGGGATCTGGGATAAGCCGGCTCATCCCCTACCCCGTCCCTGTACTTTTCTTATGCCTTAGCTTGGCACCAACTCCTCAAACAGGACCCTCTGAGAGGGAGGCTGATATGGAGGCAGGAAAAGGTGAGCCAATTATTATTTTCAATGTATTTCTTCTTCCAATTGCACACACACAACTTTGATCAAATCTTCCCTCCGCTCAGTCTCTCTTATACTCTATCTCCTACCTAACCCTTTTTACTTCCCAACAGAGGTATGAGCTTTTAATATGTTTGCTCCATATTAAAAGCCTACACATATAAGCAAAGTCAGGCAATTTCAAAAGAAAGTTATAACATTATTATTAGTATATTACTCAGAGAGGTCAGAGAGTGGTATAAGGTGGGGTCCGGGAGCCTGGAGAGATGGCTCACTGGGTAAGGACTGGCCGTTCTTCCAGAAGAGCAGGCTTTAACTCTCAGCACCCACCATACGGGCTCACAACTGACTCTTAATTCCAGCCCCATGGGATCCAACACCTCTTCTGGCCTTCTGGGGTACCATGTATGCACATGGTGCACAGACATACATGCAGGCAACACATCATACACATAAAAACAGATGTGGTCCCATGGACCCCAGCACTGACAGTTCAGGTTGCTACCAGCCTGCCAGTCACTCTTGGGACTTTCCTGTGTGTGTGCATGCTAGAGAGTAGGGCATGGCAAACGTGGAGGTCAGAGGACATCTTGTTCCATTGTCTTCCTTTCTCATATGGCTACAGAACTGGAGGAGACAATGTGGAGGGTGGGTGGCTTTGCAGCCACCTAAGAAGGCAGACAGCCCCTTGGAACATCCCCTGCACTCCAGTTCTCTGACGGCACAGAGAAAATTCCCATGCACCGACACCATTCTTGGCCTTACACTCTGACCTAACCATGTCCACCTGGACATGCTGGGATTACAGGTGTGTGCCAACATTCACTGGCTCAGGGCTTCTTGCTTGCTAAGCAAGCACTCTGCCAACTGACTGGCATCTCCATTCCTCAAATCTTTAAGACATAGGATTTTGGGGGCTGGGGAGATGGCTCAGTGCCTA